GCTGCAGTGGCGGGCGGCTCCAGGGGCTGCTACTGCAGTGGCGGCTGCTCCAGGGGCTGCTGCTGCAGTGGCGGCTGCTCCAGGGGCGATTAGGTGGCGACGCCGCGGGCAGGGCGACGCGGCGGGCAGGTGGCGACGCCGCGGGCAGGGCGACGCGGCGGGCAGGTGGCGACGCCGCGGGCAGGGCGACGCGGCGGGCAGGTGGCGACGCCGCGAGTAGGGCGACGCCGCTAGCAGGTGGCGACGCCGCGGGTAGGCGACGACGCCGCGGGCAGGCGCCGACGCCGCGGGCAGGGGACGACGCCGCGGGCAGGCGACGACGCCGCGGGCAGGCGACGACGCCGCGGGCAGGCGACGACGCCGCGGGCAGGCGACGACGCCGCGGGCAGGCGACGACGCCGCGGGCAGGCGACGACGCCGCGAGCAGGCGACGACGCCGCGGGCAGGCGGCGACGCCGCGGGCAGGCGGCGACGCCGCGGGCAGGCGACGACGCCGCGGGCAGGCGACGACGCCGCGGACAGGGGCTACGTCGCGGGCAGGCAACGACGCCGCGGGAAGGCGGCGACGCCACGGGCAGGGCGACGCGGCGGGCGGCGAGAGCCTGCAGGGGCGGCGCGCGGTCGTGCAGAGGCTGCGCGCGGGCCTGACGGGTGTGCAGGGGCGGCTCTCGGGCCTGACGGGCCTGCAGCGGCGGCTCGGGGGCCTGACGGACCTGCAGGGGCAGCTCGAGAGCGCACGAGGGCGCACGAGGGCGTACGAGGGCGCACGAGGGCGCACGAGGGCGTACGAGGGCGCACGAGGGCGCACGAGGGCGCACGAGGGCGCACGAGGGCGCACGAAGGCGCACTAGCAGAGAAAGGCGCACGAGGGGGCACGAGGGCGCGCGAAGGCGCACGTAAGGTAGAGCGCACGAGGGCGCACGTAAGGTAGGGCGCACGAGGGCGCGCCTAGCGGAATAGTGGGCCCATTGTAGAAAGCGGTCCTAGGTAGCAACCTAGGGCTCTGATACCATGTCAGACTCTAGAACAGAACGAGAATGGATGAACTAGCAGGAAGGTGGGTACAAGTATGAAACCCTAAGTTTGTGTACCCTCTAAGGCTAAACCCACTATAGCCTACACAATATAAACATACAATGTTTGACACCATAAGACATTCATCTTTCAGTGGCCATGTATGCAGAGGAACTTGGCAAACGCTTCATTATTGCGCATGCACCACTCTCCCCCCTCATCGCAGTCTCGGACCGAACCACAAACCCAACAATAAATCCCTATCCCTTGCTGGAACAGCAGTTAGAATGCCTGCTCTTTGCCTCTGTCCCCTGCAGGCTTAGTACTCCCGCAAACCAACAGCTGAAAACCTTCTGGATCTACAGCGCGCCCTACAGTTCTTCATCCCCACGACCCAGATTGGGTTCTACTACTCAACAGTGCCAACCCCATCCTTCAACCTCATCGGCTACGTGGATGCTCATCACGCAGCAGATCTCGACAATCGACGGTCTAGGACTGGGTTCCTGTTTCGACAGAAGCAGGAGCTGGTTGCCCTGTCATCAGCCGAAGCTGAACTCATCACTGCGACAGCCGCAGTTTGCAAAGATTACCTTCAAGAACTTCTGCAAGAAGCGAAAATTCCAGCCTCGCCGAACTTTCGCCCGCACTGTGACAACTAGAGCGCGATCCGAATCGCGAACAAGACTAGATTTGTCAACCGCACCATAAACATCGTCAAGGACAAAGTGGACAAGGGGAAGTGGATTTTGTCAAAATAGTAGGTGGACCTAGCCTGAGAAACCCTAGCCTAGGTGAATGTCGAGAGAAACGTGAGAGAGAATTGGGCAAAAGAGGAGTTCACTAAGAGGAGAGTTACAAAATATAGCAAATCAAATGGTGCACCACCAAAGAGGATCATAACTTCACTAAAGCTAGAACTACATGCACTTATACAAAAATATAAATAAAATATATTCTGACACACCCCCTAAGTGCATGCAAGAATAGTCAAATGTATAACACCCCCTGAAGTGGTACACCCTGCATGGCGCAGCAGAAGAAGAGGGCAAGTGAGGAGGAGGAGGAGGGACTATGAGAGGAGAGGAGGTAGGAGGCGGCAGCTGAAGCTGCTGGCACACGGGCGACTGGAGCAACTGGCACACAGGCTACCGGAGCAAGGGCATCCGGACTACTGGAGTAACTGGCTCCGCGGCTAGACGAGCGGCTGGAGCAACTGACTCACGGGCGACTGGCGCAACGGGCTCATGGGCTACCGGAGCAAGGGCATCCGGACTACTGGAGCTGCTGGCTTCATGGAGGCTACCTCCTTTCAACCTCCCCCCATGTCCCACACCCCCTTCTGCATCCCTAGCGTCACTCCCTCGGCTCCCCCACACCCTCCCCCCCTCAGCGGCAGCTGCAACAGCGGGAGAGAGAGGAGGAGCAGTTGCCGGTGCGCGCGCGGCAGGGCAGGTGCGCGCGGGCCTGGCGCGGGCTGTACGGGCCGCGCGTGGGCCTGGCGCGGGCTGTACGGGTCATGCGCGGGTGCAGCGGGTGCAGCGAATCGTCGCGCGCTCCGCCGCGCGCCCGGAGCGCGCAGCAGGCAGAAAACCGCCGCGCGCCCGGGGCGCGTGGCGGGCAGAAAAAGTCGCGCGCCTGGGGCGCGCGATAGGCAGGAAAATCATCACGCGCTCGGGGCGCGTGGCGGGCAGGAGAATAACGCATTTAGTGGAAGCTAGTAGTAGGCCCAGGATCGATGTGCTATGATACTATGTCAAAATTGTAGGTGAACCTAGGCTTAGGAGAAACCCTAGCCTAGGTGAATGTCGATAGAAACGTGAGAGAGAATTACGCAAAAGAGGAGTTCACTAAGAGGAGAGTTACAAAATTTAGCAAAGCGAATGGTGCACCACCAAACAGTACACTACAGCTAGAACTACATGCACTTATACAGAAATATATTTATATAATATATCCTGAGAGATTTGACCTACTGCCCAACAAGTGACTAGGCATCTAATTTTCTAACAAAGCGACTGCCACGCCAGCAGTACTAGTACTACTTCGAACTCAGCGGCGTGGTCAAGCAGGTCAAGTCGAGCTACGGTTAGGAGTGAAGGGTGGTGTTACGAATAGTAAATTAAGAAAGAATGCTGTGCACTCCTGACAGCAGCAAATGAGCGACGTAGTATCAGAGTTGGAGATGAAGAGTAAAAAATGACATGAAGCGACGCGAACAGTAGGAGAGCAGCTAGACTGTCGGAGCAGACGACATAGGGCAGCTGCAAGAGCGAGAAAATTGGCGGCAGTTTCGTATCAGTACGCGCCGCACGGTTGGGCTTGAATTCGAGTAAGGGAATGTACCCCTTAGAGTACATGGCTAGCTAGAACGTTTTGTACTCCCTCTGTACTCATATTTATACGCCTGTATTTGCTTGTGTTAATCATCTCAATCATTTTACATCACTCTGCTTTGAGGTCAAGGACCCACCACTACCATACACATTATGCAAACCTTCCCCATGTGATCCTGGTTACGATCGGCTTCTGATCGCAGCAATCATAAAAAAAAAATGGCGTTTTCGTGGGTGGCACGATTGGATTTTTCAATTAGTACGGCATTATGGTGCACGGCTAGTTGGTTTAAGGCATGCGCCATGCTGATTGTAATAACGTCAAAAGCCACCATTATACTATTGCGTCAATGTTATATTGACTACACGCTGACGCGAAACGGTCGAGTGGTCGATTGTTCCTGTTATATTTGAATTTGGAGCACTCTGATACCGTAATATGCATCGCTACAATTTCCTGAAACTAAGCTATTTACAGTTAGGAGGGTCTAATCCGGTGTGCATTACAAAAAGGGAGGCCTAGTACAAAAGTAGTGACAACAATATATACCCCTGTTTTGGCGACATGAGGGGGCTATGATTATGGGGGCTACATTTGCCGGTGAAATACGGCAGATGTCTTCGATAATTATCACTGTTGCTTGGCTTCATTCTCGCTACAATATCGTTTATGTTTCGGACTCCGCTATTTCATGAATGGTTATATCAGTTTCATATCGTAACCATATTGACTCCGCACCAGTATATTTCACACTTCGACTTACCATCGCGTCGATGGACGTACATATAAGAAAGGACACGAATTCGGCACAACTGTTGAAGGCCGAGCTCATGGAGGAAAAATACAACCCATACCCAACCTTCATTTCCCCTAACCTCCTGCATAGCTAGTATTCTTGTGTGACCTTAGTTGTTATTAGCTGTTCATTTAGTCCATGCTTCGTTATTAGTTGGTTCGAGATAACTAGGCTTTCTACCCTACCCCCATTTCGTGCCTTGGGATTGCACTCGGTAACTTGCGTGTATTTGTGGTCTGGTTGGGTCGAGATCGTTTCGGGAATGCAGGGGTGCCTTGGGTATTGAAGTCTCAATGTCCGGTCAGCGGTCAAAATAAAACTTGTGTAGAGGTTTGTTGAGGGTTTTAATAAGCAGCACATTCCAGTGTTTGGCTCAACGAAACGTCTAAACAGAGATGGACAAAAAAATGTTTCGAATGTTCCCCGTCCTTTCTGTTGGATTGCCCGTTGGTCTGGTGCCGTGGGAGCGGGGTGTTGCCTAAGGTAGTTTCTGTGTTGTGGTGGTTTGAAGAGGTGCAGGAGAAAGAAAGCTCTTTTTATCTCCGCCTCCATTCCCTCAGGAGCTCTCACAGCAACTCTTCCCTAACCTAGCTCCTCTCTATCCATATCTGGTGAGCATGTTAAGCAAATCGCTATAAGGGTTGGTTCCTCTGGTCATCATCTGTCTAATAGATCCGTTTATTTTCTTCACAACCGCGCCAGACGGTTTTACTTAGAGCATTCAAGAAATGTACTTTACCTTTTCTCTTTGTTTTTTTTTTTTTTTGGTGATGGAAATCCACAGTGAAAATCATTCATCATGGCCGACGATCAGGGAGATATTTCCGCTCTTGTGTGCGACAACGGATCCGGTATGGTGAAGGTGAGTAGCATTCGCATTCTCGATTTATCATGCTGGAGACTTCCGTCTAATTCGCTGTGAGCCTTCTTTTCCAGGCCGGATTTGCCGGAGACGATGCGCCCCGTGCTGTGTTTCCCAGCATTGTTGGTCGTCCTCGCCATCAGGGTGTGATGGTAGGGATGGGACAGAAGGATGCCTACGTTGGTGATGAAGCCCAGTCTAAGCGTGGAATCTTGACCCTGAAATATCCGATCGAGCACGGTGAGTCTGACTCTTCTGCTGAATTACGATTGCATAAGATTATTTTTTCTCGTTTGTAACCTTTGCGCATTTTTGTTTCCCAGGTATTGTGACGAACTGGGACGACATGGAAAAGATTTGGCACCACACCTTCTACAACGAGCTTCGTGTCGCTCCAGAGGAGCATCCGGTGCTTTTGACTGAAGCTCCTCTGAATCCTAAGGCGAATCGCGAGAAGATGACCCAGATTATGTTTGAGACTTTCAACGTGCCGGCAATGTATGTCGCCATTCAGGCTGTGCTCTCCCTGTACGCCAGCGGTCGTACCACTGGTAAGTTTTTGGCATTATTATTGCGCACCAGTTCTGGGCCTTATTCGTCCGCACCATTTGCGACGTGATCTGTTGCTAAGCTATTCCTTGGTTTCAGGTATTGTTCTGGATTCTGGTGATGGCGTGTCGCACACTGTTCCCATCTACGAGGGTTACGCTCTGCCTCACGCTATCCTTCGTTTGGATCTTGCTGGCCGTGATTTGACCGAGTACCTGGTTACGATCCTGACTGAGAGGGGTTACTCCTTCACCACGTCTGCCGAGCGGGAAATTGTGAGGGATATCAAGGAGAAGCTCGCTTACGTTGCCATTGATTTCGAAGCGGAGATGGCAACTGCACAGGGCTCATCTTCTTTGGAGAAGAGTTACGAGCTTCCTGATGGGCAGATGATCACTCTTGGTTCTGAGCGATTTAGGTGCCCAGAAGTGCTTTTCAACCCGTCGCTGGTTGGCAAGGAAGCTTCGGGTATCCATGAGACGTGCTACAACTGCATCATGAAGTGTGACGTCGATATCAGGAAGGATCTGTACGGCAACATTGTGCTCAGCGGTGGTACTACCATGTTCCCTGGAATTGCTGATCGCATGACCAAGGAAGTCACTGCGCTTGCGCCCAGCACCATGAAGATCAAGGTGGTTGCTCCACCTGAGCGGAAGTACAGTGTCTGGATTGGTGGATCCATTCTTGCGTCGCTGAGCACCTTCCAGCAGGTATGCATTTTTTCCATGTACCATTGGTTTATGCTTTTCCTGCTGCCTTCATGCTAACTCTCCCTTGTGTGTTGCAGATGTGGATTGCCAAAAGCGAGTATGATGAGGCTGGCCCATCCATTGTTCACAGGAAGTGCTTCTAGTTCCTGTATCATGAGGCAGCATGGGTAGCTGGTCTGCACAATCGGATTCCTATTTGCACTTTGGAACAGCTGATTGTAGTTTATGTATGTTTGCTTGCTGGCTAGTTCATCGGAGTTTACAGATTTCCTTTGGCGTCACATAGTGTAGTGGTACGTTTGTTTCACATAGATGAGGTGAAGATACAAAGGAGGCCCAAATGATTTTGATAAAAAGTTCACAATGGCAGCGGGTAGTTCATCTGGGCATTCTTCTTGGGGCACATGGCCACAATCTTCAAGAATCACCAACTTCGCGCAGGGCAATGCAGCTGCTACCCTACTGGCATTCCAATAGGGTAGAATCTTGTCGTGCCTTCCTGCAACCACTAGTACTGTAGGGGTTGTGACGAGAGATGGCAGTCACAGAATTGAAACAAATTGAAAACCGACATGAATGACTTCAGCACCGACGTAATGAGATTATGAGAGGTGAAAGAAGCAGATGTCAAAACTTGGTTACCGGTAGTCCAGGTTGCATGACTCTCATATTCACAGTACCATACTGTAACACTCTCCTTTCCTGCTGTACCTACAACCTGACCTGACACCAGTTCCACATGTACAAAACCAGCTCAGACTGTTTTGTGGTGTTGTAGTTCTATCTATAGCCAGCAGTGTTCTAGCTGATAATATGACACCCCAGATATCGCAGCTTAAGTCCACAAAAAAAATCTCAACCTTACACACCTCATCCTGTCCCATGCAGTTTCAGTGTCGATACTTTTCCCCACATGAATTCAGGCCAATGTCCTCCAAAAGAAAGGACAACCAAGTCCTCAACCACAAGGCTGTGACACACCGTGCCGTGCTTCTGACTTTCCTGTACAATAAAATCAAAATCATCTTACCTGCAGGCACCCACTTGCACCCTCGCTGTCCACGCGCGTGTGCAGTGAGGATCGTGCAGTTCCCTCCCAACACAGCCCCGGAAAGTTGGTGATAACTAAATTATTTATAGTATAAGGGTGAGGGTGTTATATTGATTCTGAAAAAAAATACGGGGTGCTCACAAAGAGCACCTTTATACCGCACCACCTTGGGGTGTTCAATTTCTGGGGACGGCATATAGGGGGCCTAACGGTACTGAAAATCGTGAAGTCAGTAAGGGGGGTGCACGTGCATTAAAATAAAGGATATTGGTGAAGAAACAGGATATAAGCGCACTGCACTAAACAAAGGAATACGCTTATATCCACTGCGGCAGATCTCAACTTACTCTGAACCAGAGCCACTGCTTCTCCACTGGATCAACCTTAGAGGAAGAACTTACAGAAGAAACGGATTCAGATGAATCAGTGACTCGCAGGCTCATGGTGTAGGGAGCCGTACACCATGAGCCTATAAGTTGCCTCCCTAACCCTTTACATCAATATGCTGACACAAGGGCGTGGCTTCCGAACATCTTCCCAAAGCCGTATGAGCTCTTTGCGATGTGGGCCATTTTGTAAATGTCTTCTGAAGTGCTTTCATGGGTGGTTATATGAGTGCAAGCCCCGAGACAGTTTTGAGGGTTTCGGTTCACGATAAAACTTGGAACGAACCAAACAGGTGGTTACAAGTTTTGTAACGGATGTCAGGTCCCTCATAGGGAACACAGCCAGAATCAGTGCTTACATCTGGTAATGTGGAGGCTGTAAAGCTTACAATACGACGACAGGAAAGTGGAAGCACAACAAGGGGGAGCAAAAGAAGGAAAGGGGAGAAAGCGGGAGAAAGGGGAGCAAGAAAGAGAAGGGAGGGAAAGGGAGGGGAAAGGGGAGCAAGGGAGGGGAAAGAGGAGCAAGGGAGAGGGGAAGGGAGCAAGAGAAAGCAGTGGCACGCACTCGGGAGGGTGAGTGTGTGCAGTTTGGCGGCAGTGTTGGGGTTGAGCGTGGCTGCCACTGTGAACTCTATCAGCGCCCTGTCCCAGTTGCGACATGCCAGTGGCTGCCGTGGCCAGGCCAGGGGGAGGGAGAGGGGGTTGGAAGAAAGGGTGGAGAGGGTGTGGCAAGAAGGTGAGAGAATGGAGGGATGAGGGGACAGGGGCACGAGAGGGGGGAGGGGGAAGGTTAGGGAAGAGGTATTGTTGAGCAGAAGCAGCTGGGCAACATCCATGCAGGTGTGACAAGAGGGTGCAGCTTCTGAGGGGTCACATGAGTGTAGTGCAGAGAAGACGCACCTTGGTGCAGAGAAGACGCACCTTGGTGTAGAGAAGACGCACCTTGGTGTAGAGAAGATGCACCTTGGTGTAGAGAAGAAGCACCTTGGTGTAGAGAAGACGCACCTTGGTGTAGAGAAGACGCACCTTGGTGTAGCCATGAATAATGTCTGGCAAACAGAGGGACGGGTTACTCCATGCTTGCTTCACTGCTGCCACTCCCACCGCGCCCATCACTGCTCGCACCTGGTGTGTGCGGGACAAGGGAGGTGAATCAGAGCAAGGGGTGAGGAGAGATGGGGGGAGGTGAGAGTGCATGTGCATGTGCATGTGCATGTGCATGTGCATGTGCATGTGCATGTGCAAGTGCATGTGCATGTGCATGTGCATGTGCAAGTGCAAGTGCATGTGCATGTGCATGTGCAAGTGCAAGTGCATGTGCATGTGCAAGTGCAAGTGCATGTGCATGTGCATGTGCAAGTGCAAGTGCATGTGCATGTGCAAGTGCATGTGCAAGTGCATGTGCATGTGCATGTGCAAGTGCATGTGCATGTGCATGTGCATGTGCAAGTGCATGTGCATGTGCATGTGCATGTGCAAGTGCATGTGCATGTGCATGTGCATGTGCATGTGCATGTGCATGTGCATGTGCATGTGCAAGTGCATGTGCAAGTGCATGTGCATGTGCATGTGCATGTGCATGTGCATGTGCATGTGCAAGTGCATGTGCATGTGCATGTGCATGTGCATGTGCATGTGCAAGTGCATGTGCATGTGCATGTGCATGTGCATGTGCAAGTGCATGTGCATGTGCATGTGCATGTGCATGTGCATGTGCATGTGCAAGTGCATGTGCATGTGCATGTGCAAGTGCATGTGCATGTGCATGTGCATGTGCAAGTGCATGTGCATGTGCATGTGCATGTGCAAGTGCATGTGCATGTGCAAGTGCATGTGCATGTGCAAGTGCAAGTGCATGTGCATGTGCATGTGCATGTGCAAGTGCATGTGCATGTGCATGTGCATGTGCAAGTGCATGTGCATGTGCATGTGCAAGTGCATGTGCATGTGCATGTGCATGTGCATGTGCATGTGCATGTGCATGTGCATGTGCATGTGCAAGTGCATGTGCATGTGCATGTGCATGTGCATGTGCATGTGCATGTGCATGTGCATGTGCATGTGCAAGTGCATGTGCAAGTGCATGTGCATGTGCATGTGCATGTGCATGTGCAAGTGCATGTGCATGTGCAAGTGCATGTGCATGTGCATGTGCATGTGCAAGTGCATGTGCATGTGCATGTGCATGTGCATGTGCATGTGCAAGTGCAAGTGCATGTGCATGTGCAAGTGCATGTGCAAGTGCATGTGCATGTGCATGTGCAAGTGCATGTGCATGTGCATGTGCATGTGCAAGTGCATGTGCATGTGCATGTGCATGTGCAAGTGCATGTGCATGTGCATGTGCATGTGCATGTGCATGTGCATGTGCATGTGCATGTGCAAGTGCATGTGCAAGTGCATGTGCATGTGCATGTGCATGTGCATGTGCATGTGCATGTGCAAGTGCATGTGCATGTGCATGTGCATGTGCATGTGCAAGTGCATGTGCATGTGCATGTGCATGTGCATGTGCATGTGCAAGTGCATGTGCATGTGCATGTGCATGTGCATGTGCATGTGCATGTGCAAGTGCATGTGCATGTGCATGTGCATGTGCAAGTGCATGTGCATGTGCATGTGCATGTGCAAGTGCATGTGCATGTGCATGTGCATGTGCAAGTGCATGTGCATGTGCAAGTGCATGTGCATGTGCATGTGCATGTGCATGTGCATGTGCATGTGCATGTGCATGTGCAAGTGCATGTGCATGTGCATGTGCATGTGCATGTGCATGTGCATGTGCATGTGCAAGTGCATGTGCAAGTGCATGTGCATGTGCATGTGCATGTGCATGTGCAAGTGCATGTGCATGTGCAAGTGCATGTGCATGTGCATGTGCATGTGCATGTGCATGTGCATGTGCATGTGCATGTGCATGTGCAAGTGCATGTGCATGTGCATGTGCATGTGCATGTGCATGTGCATGTGCATGTGCAAGTGCATGTGCAAGTGCATGTGCATGTGCATGTGCATGTGCATGTGCATGTGCAAGTGCATGTGCATGTGCATGTGCATGTGCATGTGCAAGTGCATGTGCATGTGCATGTGCATGTGCATGTGCAAGTGCATGTGCATGTGCATGTGCATGTGCATGTGCATGTGCATGTGCATGTGCATGTGCATGTGCATGTGCATGTGCATGTGAGAGGATTACACGCTCATGCCAAGTGAACAGTCACCAGGCACTGCACAACAGCACAGCCCATTTTGCATGCATGCACACGTTCACACACATGGCCAAGCCGGACCAGTCAGGCTCGGCCAGGCCTGAACAATCAGGTCTGGCCGAGGCCTGACCACTCGGTTTCGGCGAAGCCGGACCAATCAGGTCCAGACCAATCAGGCCTGGACCAATCAGGCTCAGACCATTCAGGTCCGGCCGAGCCGGACCAACCAGGTCCGGACCATCCAGGTGCGAATGGAGTTTACTCAAGCAGCATGCACATAACAAGGCTCAAAAGGCAACTTGGACTATGGTGACATAGCATGGCACGGCATGGCACGGCATGGCACGGCATGGCACGGCATGGCACGGCATGGCACGGCATGGCACGGCATGGCACGGCATGGCACGGCATGGCACGGCATGGCACGGCATGGCACGGCATGGCACGGCATGGCACGGCATGGCACGGCATGGCACGGCATGGCACGGCATGGCACGGCATGGCACGGCATGGCACGGCATGGCACGGCATGGCAGGGCAGCATGCCATGATAAAAAGCCCAGTCCTGTCTTTTGAACAACATCACACCGCATCGCACTGTACTGCACTGCACCGCCACCTGCCGCCCCTTATCCACTATCCCTCCAAACCGCATGCAATCTCTTAGCACCCCAAAATACGAACCTATGAGAACGGCCCGAATGTGGGAAGCATGTGGGAGGGGAACGTGGGTACAGAATGTGGAGAAAGAATGGTATTGAGTGCGCACCATGAGTCGCACGGGCTCGCATCTCAGCAGCACGGCAGCGAGGGCGGAGGGGAGGTGAGGTGCGCAGGTGAGCGCTGCTAGGAGGGACGAAGAGAAGGACGAGAGGGAGGAGAGGAGGAGGGCGAGGTGGAGGGCAAGGAGGAAGGGGAGGGCGAAGGTGAGAGTGAGGGCGAGGCGAACGCATGCCCCAGCTGCTCCCAGTGCAGTGCCACGCTCGCTGCTGCTGCTGCCACTGCCGCCGCCGCCGCTGCTTCCGCCGCCGCTGCTGCTGCTACTGGTGGTGCTGCCGGGGCCACCTGTGGTGTGATCGGCAGAGTACCCGAGAGCGTCGCCACAGGTTGGCAGTGGAGCAGAGGGAGGCAGTGCAAGGAGGGAAAAGAGGGAGTGCAGCACACGGCTCGTAGACGCGATGGCCATGGCAGCAGCAGCGACTGCAGCTGTGCACGCGGTGACAGAGATACGAGTGAGCGAGAGCAGCAGGAGCAGCAGGCGGGAGAGAGCGAGAGATGCAAGGCAGCGTGCCACAGCCACAAGCCGACCAATGCCCCCACGCTTGCCCCTCCCATCCTTTCCTCCTCCCCCTCCTCCTTCTCCTCCTCCTGCTCCTCCTGTTCCCGTGTCCCCCTCCCCTAACCTCCCTTCTCCCTCAGTTCCTGCTGAACTCTCTCCCGCTGAGTGATGAGCAGCAGGGGGAGGCGAGGAGGGAGTTGATCGGGTGCGGGGCGGTAGCAGGGGCGGCACGAGGGCAGGTGCGATGAGGACGAGCGTAGAGAAGAGATCAGGGCGGGCGAGAGCTGCCTCTATGGCAGGCAGACAGCCGGCAGAGTGGCTGGGGGGGACAGGGTGCGATGAGAGGGAAGGGCGAGTTGGGAGAGAGGGGGGTGGAGGAGAAGAAGGGAGGGAGGGACGGGGGGGGTATGGGAGGAATGAGGGAGCAGCAAGAGAAGGGAGGTGTCGGTATAGCATGGCACGGCAAAATTGGCATAGCATGGCATGGTACGATTTGGCATGGTAGAGGGGGGCATGGTATGGCTTCAAATTTGAGAGTCCGAACTCCTACACCAGCGTGCAGCACTGGATCCCATGACCTCTCAGAAATCTCATTCCCAGCAATCGCCCTGGCCCCCCACACCACACTCACCCTACAAGCACCACCCTTCCCGCCCCACTGTGGTCGCTGGCGCCTCCCTCACCCCCCTCCTCTCCAATCACTTTCCCCTCAACGAACGCCTCTGCTCCTCCCACTTCTTTTGGCTTCTCTGCATCCCCCTCCTCCTCCGCCCCCTTAACCCCCTCCGCCCCCTTAACCCCCTCCGCCCCCTTAACCCCCTCCGCTCCCTCTGCCCCCTGTGGTGGATGCAGTGTGCGGTGTAGCAGGTAGTGTGCGAGGTCAATGGTGGCATCACGGCTGAACGCCAGGCTGTAGGGGGAGGGGTGCGAGGCGGGCGGAGAGGCAGCGGCAGGAGCAGCGGCAGGAGCAGCGGCAGAGGCAGAGACAGAGGCAGGACTCGGGGAGGGGGGTGGGCGAGCAGAGAGGCCGAAGGCAGGGCGGTCGAAGGAGAGGGCGGGGGAGTGACGCGCCAAAGCCGTGCAGCAGCAGCATGGGATATGGTGCTGGGGCGCATGGCTGGGGGGTTGGTGATGGTGATGGTGGTGGTGATGGTGGTGGTAACGGCGAGGGCCATGTGAGTTTGGCATGCAGCAGGACGCCATGCACGGAGAGGAAGGTGCTGTCTGGGTCTGCGAGGGCACGTGGGTCGTCCACCAGCGCTGATGGGTGCTGGGGTATGCCCGCCACTGATGGCTGTGATGCTCTGCTGCTGCATGGACGAACACACGCATGCACATGCCAAGGCACAGGCACAGGCACATGCACATGCACATGCACCGCACATAGATGCACGCTCGTGCACGCACGTGTACACACACGCACACCCACACACCCACACACAAACCCATGCCCCCACATTCACACATGAACACACGCACACACACACACGAGTCATGACAGCAGGGGGGTGCGCACACAGACAGCACATGATCTGGTGAGAATGCGTTGCAAGGCCCCAACAGCAAGGCGAGGCCATGGACCAAGCGAGTACTGCATGCATGCGCTTGGTACACAGGGAAGCATGCCACTGACTCTAACACACGCATACTCACATCACACGTGTGAGATGAGACCAAGTCAGAATGCATCGTGCGTCACTGTGAAGGGACCTCTCTATCTAGATTGCTTTCCCACCTCTCCCTCTTGTCTCCCGTTCTCTGCTCCTCCCCATACGCTCATCGCACGCTCATCTCACCTCCACTCCTCATCCTTTTCCTGCCACGCCTCCACCCATGAATCTCGCACTCTCTCCTCCGCTGCTTCCTCCTCCCCCCACCCCTCCCACCACCACCGCCACGTGCCTTCCAACTCCCCCCATCCCTGCGCCGCCTCTCCGCCCCCCACTTCCCCTGCTGTCGCCCTACATCCGCGCTTCGCTCCGCGCGCGGGACTGATTCTTTCGCCGCCGCTATCCAGCCGCTCACCTCTCCCCCATTGTGTGAGCCCTCCCCGCACCCGTGAGCCTTCCGCGCTATGCGCGCGAGGCCCGCCAGCGCAGCGCGACGGTGACGCGGCGGTCGCGTGGCGCGCGGGACGCGCCCATTCTGCGCCGCGCTGCGCCTTCGGCGGTGTGCTGAATGCGGCGCGAGGAAGCGCCGAAGCGGAGAGCAGGCGACGGGAGCAAACCGAGGGGCGGCAGGGAAGCGGTTGTGGCGCGGAATGGGGAAGGTTTTGGAGCGGTGCGGGACGGCGGCAGGGCGGGAATGACATTGCGTGAATCGACGACATGGCGCGCTGGTGAGAGCGGACGGCGCAGAGCGCGGCAGTGGATCGCTGGTGCTTGGCGTGTGAGCCGTCCGATCCACTTCCAACAGAACCACCCCGATTTATACCCTCAATTTGGACTGACGCGCTAATAGGAAAAACACAAATGATGACCTTAATTTACAGTTAAAGTGCTTAATTTTACCAGGGCTGATACAAAATAACGCCTGCACATTCTAGGCAAAAATCAGCTCAGACGCACAGTATATCCCACAACAACCCTACGGCTTACACCTGACTAAACGAGCATTATAAAAGCCAAAAAAACTACATGTAAATAGCGAGGCAAGGTCTGATCAGTTTAATGAGCAATCCAACCGGTAAGTGCTGGAATCTTCCTCATGTTGTGAGCATAACAGGTGCTTATGCCGCCAGCCCGGGATGAGCATGGGAGCGGGGGTGGAGGACCCGTGGGCATGTTGCGGTGCGGGGTGGTGGGGGGAAATGAGTGCAGCAGGCAGAGAGTGACCGGTGGATGGTCGGGGACAGCCGTGGAACAAAGCTTTGATTCACTGCTGTGGATGGCATGGAGCGTGGAGCGTGGAGCGTGGAGCGTGGAGCGTGGAGCGTGGAGCGTGGAGCATGAACCATAGGGCATCGGGAATGGTGTATGGGGCATGGGGGATGGTGCATGGGGCATAAGGCATGATGCATGGGGCATTGAGGATGGGGAATGGAGCACGAGGCATGGTGCATGGGACATGGGGAATGGAGCATGGGGCATGGGACGTAAGTCATGGAGAGTGGGGCATGGGGCATGAGGCATGGGGCATGGCGCATGGGGCATGGCGCATGGCGGGAGCCTGCTTGCCCCACAGCATGGCATGCCGCACAGGTCCGTCCGCCCAACCAGTCACTCCACGCTCTTCACCAGCACCGCATCCCACCGCACTTCACAGCACTGGACCGCAGTGCACCTCACAGCGGTCTGATGCCTGAGGCAGCAGCATGCATGGCATCGGCGTGCAGCAGGAACATGGGCAGCGAGTGCTTCGCGTTGCGCCCCGCGCGCACGTACGCGTGCAGCGCCGCCTCCATCTTGACCACGTGCGACCACATGCCGCGCGCCACGCCCATCTTGGCGATGTTGCGCGACACGCCCGAGTCCTCCGCGTGGATCGTCACAATGTCGCACGCCTGCTCCGCGCATACCGCCGATTCCCCGCAACAACCCCTCTCCTGCCCCTCCTCCGCTTCCCCCCGGCCTGCCTGCCCTTCCGGCAGCCGCGACTCCGCGCATTCGCCTTCCCCGCACTCTTCCCCGCTCGCCTGCCTCCAAAACACGCCGCTCCCCCCGCCGCTGTTTCCGGGATGCGCCTGGCGGCGCGCGGGCTTTACCTTGGATGCTTGCGCAGTCCCCTGAGCGGGGGGCCAGATGGCGGATATTTGTTGCGCGTCGGTGATGGCGGCGACGCGCCATTTGGACGTTAAGGCGGACACGCGGAGGAGGTTAGGGCGCGGGGGAGCGGAGGGGTGCGTGGTGAGCTTGGAGATGCAGTGGTACGTGTGCGACCGCAGCGACCACACGCGACGCGCGACGACGTACTCGCGGTCGCGCAGGAAGAAGGGGAACTTGCGCACCCAGCGCGCGATGCACTCGCCGCGCGGGTCCCACTCCTCCAGCATCTGGCTGCCCTGCGCGCGCGTGTCGTCCCACTCCGCGCGGTAATCCTCGTCCAGGAAAAAGTCCCGCGCCGCCTCCGCGCTGCACTCGCGTATCACCATGTGGCAGCGGTAAACCGTCGGGCCGCCGTCGGGGGGATCCCGCGACCACGCGCGGCACGAGAGGCGGTCCGTCTTGCGGTGGAGCGTCTGGCGCCTTTTAGCCGGCCTTGGTGAGATCGTCATCGTCGATTTCCAGATCTTGCATGAAGCCACGGAGATCCGCCAGCGTTACCACCTGCTCCTCGCCGTCATTCGCGGCGGCGCCTTTATTGTACTGCCGCGGCTCGTCTTTCCCCCCATCCCGCTCCTCGCACCCTATCACCAAGTCCGAGTCTTGCCCCACGCGCTGCCGCGCCCCCCCGCCGACGCCTCCTAGCCGCATGGCCCACTGCGCGAGGGTGCCGCCGGCGGCGCCGGCGGCGGCAGGCGGAACGCAGCCGCTTGCCATCACGTCGCGGAAGTCGGGCTCGCAGTCGCGCCACTCCGAGTCTGTACTGGTGGACGCGTCCTCCTCCTCCTCCTCGCCCTCCGCGCGCCGATGCGTCCATCGCTCCCATTCGTCCCGCTCCGATTCGAACCCAGCCTCCTCCTCCTCCTCCTCCCCCTGCGCCGCCGCCGCTGCAGCTTCACGCTCCGCCTTGGCGACGGCTAGCCGGCGCTTCTCCGCGCGGGCGCGGGCGAGGGTGCGGAGCGTGGCGAGGTGGCCGGAGGCGTGCAGCGACGCGAGGAACTCTTCGAGTTGCCAGTCCAGGGACGGATACACCACCGGGCCCGGCGGCCGGTACGCCGCGTTCCCGCTCATGGCTACTGAACGCGGACCGAGACGCCGAGCCTTGCTGCAATACAGTCAACTACCCAGAGCTTTTTCCTGATACCCAGAACTACCTCGAGACAGAAAGGTACCCAATGCTCGAAACCACGATGCACCAGAAAGATCCAGAGCTGAATACACCTACAAGGTGTTATCCTTGGCGAAGTTATTGGTACCTGGTCGCCTCGTCCTGTCGCTGGGAATCGAAGATCTAGCATCGAGCGTGGCGGCGGGAATCATGGTCACCTTGGAGTGTAAGCTCCGTTGAAGCCGCCAAGGGACCAGCAGGAATGGTCGGGTGCAGGGCGGCCAAGTGCGGTATAGACACCCAGCCGCTCATACATCCTAGGCAGGTCTCCTAACCAGCGCGCAAGTGCAAGCATGGAGTGGGGGGAAAGGAATGCGCGGAGCGTCGGTGGTGTGGTGTCCTGTGGGCGAGCGTGTGAGTGCGCGAATGGGAGCAGGAGTCCAGGGATGTTCTCTGGGATAGCGGGGTTGGCCGAGGGAGAATACTGTCTCCTGCATCTGATTGGTCGAGAGACTGAAGAGGCAGGCGTTGGCGAATGGAGTACGAGTGGCGCGGGCAAGAGGGGAGTCCCAAGGCTGGTTGGGGGAGGCGGGCAGCCAGTGTGGTGCCTGACTTGTGAGCGGGAAAAGAATCAATCAAGTCGCCAAACAATCGAAGGGCTTGGCACGTGCTTCGCAGGAAACCATTCGGCGGCGATCTTCGCTGACGAGATGTCGTTCGACAAAGCAGAAACTGGCGAGGCTTGCGACGACTAGGACATGTAGTGGTCGCACAATGCACGACGGACGGCGATTGGATGAGAAACAACCCGACGTCCGCCATATTGGGTGTGTTTGTTCCCGCAGTACGATTTCACTACCACAATGCACTTTCAGGATAATGGTAACATCGCCACTATTTAGGTGAGTGATTGAGGACACATTCTTTGGATAAGCTATTTGTACAAAAATAGCTTTACGCTTGTATACACCATACCACCATAGGGCTACAACACTTTATAAAAGAGTCCAACTTGCTCCATACATATCTTATCTCTTGCGCTCCTTTATTTGTTTCGAGGGCAGTTTCCGCTTTGGCCTGTCATCGTCATCGTCCCCTGCTGCACCATTCTTCACCTTCTTTTGTTGACCATCAGCCTGTGCAAGAGGACGAGCAGGCAGGAATACAGCACAATAACTGGATAGAGCAAATCATAATCTTTGATCTACGGCTCGACCAGGTGTAAGCTTTTGCATGCCACGCCATTTGCGTAAGCACACTCGCATGTGGACACCATGCACTAAACACCAGAGAGTACGAAATGCTCGGCCAGAACGAAAATTGGCAGGCAACAAATAAGAAAGAAGAGGGAGAAGAAGAAGACGAAAGTTGGCGGCCGCTTTGGCTTTCCACTCACCTGCTAACGTGCAGAGCAGACCTAGTCAGTGGTCTACGGCCTCCTCACCTCTGCATATGCCTCCTGTTCCACATCCTCGTATGCTCCTCCCACCTGCCCCAGTCACCCTTGCCCATATCTCCCTTCCAGACCCCACCCAAGAGAGCCCAGCACGCGTGCAAGGCGCAGCACGCACCATGCGGTGGTGCTTGAGGCGCATCTCCTCCAGCATGGCCTGCAGCCGCCGCGCCCTCTGCTGCCGCTCCTTCAGCTCCCCATACAGTGCCTCGCGGTGCCTGCCATGCGCGTAGGTGGGCACACGGGTGGAGTGGTTGGATGGGTGAGTGGGTGGTGGGTGGGTGGTAGATGGGGAAGATGCCGCAAGGCAAGGCGGAGTGGAGGAAAAGAGGGGGGGGGGGGGGAAGGGGCCATGGAGGACAAAAGCAGAAAGGCCGCGGGGGGGGGGAGGGTTCAAAAGGAACTGCGACGAGCATGTGGAGCAGGATAAGCGCGTGGGCAATAAGTGAGGCCTGGGCAAACAGCACGTGAGTGGGTTGAGCAGCATGTGTAAGTATGCGCTGCAGCACGCCTGTGGTCCAATGGTAATGGCCACTGCTAGTGGAGATGGCGATGGTGAGGATGGATGGATGGATGGATGGATGGATGGATGGATGGATGGATGGATGGATGGATGGATGGATGGATGGATGGATGGATGGATGGATGGATGGATGGATGGATGGATGGATGGATGGATGGATGGATGGATGGATGGATGGATGGATGGATGGATGGATGGATGGATGGATGGATGGATGGATGGATGGATGGATGGATGGATGGATGGATGGATGGATGGATGGATGGTTAGAAGGTACCGGTTCAAGCGTGTATTGAGGGGCTTTGTGACGGGGGGTGGAGTGGCCTCGTGCTCAGGCGAGGAAGATCGGCGCTGGCGCTTGGAGGGAGGTGTGGCATCGCTGTCACTGCACAGGGCGTAGGAGACGTGATGGGCGCGGGATGGCGCCGCGGATGCATGCACGGACTATGTCATGAAGAATCTGAATGTGCATGAGAGGCCGAGTACAGACGCGGAGGTGCGGCATAGGGCAGGCTGAACGTGTAGGCTGGACAGAAAGGTGGCAGCACACGGGGATGTGAAGCCCCGTGGCGTGGCACATGCCGGCCAGTGGCCGCATGGCTGATGGAACATGGCGGGTGTGAAAAGAGTGGCACGTGGTGCATGATGCATGGCAGCTTGCCTGTGTGCGAAGACCAGGTGCTTGTTCCTGTGCGGCTCATCCACCCTATGCAGTGATGCCTGTAGCCTCTCCACTTTCTGCCTCACACACACACACACACACACACACGCACACACACACGCACACACACACACACACGCACACACACACACACGCACGCACGCACGCACGCACGCACACGCACGCACGCACGCACGCACGCACGCACGCACACGCACACGCACACGCACACGCACACGCACACGCACACGCACACACGCGCACGCGCACGCACACACGCGCACATGCACACACACACACCCGCATGCAAGCATGCACGCAGGGCAGGCGCATATGTAGGGGGGGGGAGGTTTGGGTCGAAACATGGCGACATGGATAAAAGCAAAAAGAGAGCGGGGCCCAGAGAGACAGGGAAAGAAGCATACCGGGGCATGGGTAGAGTCCACGTAAACGTCATATGGGTATGCAGCACATGTGGCATGCAGCACATGTGGCATGCAGCGCACCTGTTGCTCGGCTTGCCACTTGGTGCGAATGTACCCCATGTCCTGCGAGTTCATCAGGCGCACCTCCTCCTCCGTCCACTCCTCCTTCTCCACTCGCCTGCCATCCCCACCCACCACACAAGCCAGAACAGAGGGAGGCGAGAGAGCGTGGGTGATGCCGCATGGTGGCACGTGACATGGATGACACTAGGAACATGGGTGAACATGGGTGAACATGGGTGAACATCGGTGAACATGGGTGAACATGGTTGAACATGGTTGAACATGGGTGAACATGGTTGAACATGGTTGAACATGGGTGAACAAGGCTTTAGGGTGAAGTGAACATGTGAGCATGTGCACTGCAATGTACATGTGTGCAGGGCACTTTCCATTCCGTATTATGTTCGAACCCTCTCATGCCACCTCCCTTCGCTCTCCCCTTCCCCTCCACCTTCTCTTCCTCCTTCCTTCCCTCTCCGCCAACCCCCTCCCGCCATCCCATTACTCCGCCCCTCCTCGCAGCACACAATCTGCACCGTCCAGAGCATCATATCAACGTGCCCCGCGGCTCCATCCGCGCTCGCTCCATGCCACAGAGGGACGGAACGGGAGACGTGTGCGGTGCGGGCATAGTGGAGGAAAGAAAGGACGCGCGGAGGGGTTGGGTAGGGAGAAAGGGGGAGAAAAGGGGAGAAGGGAGGAGAAGGGGGGAGAAGGGGGGAGAAGGGGGGAGAATGGGCGGGGGGAGAAGGTTGGAGAAGGGAGAGAATAGCGGCTCACGTGTGGCGGCCGCGGTTGAGGCGCGTGTGCTCCATTTTGAAGTAGAACTCGTCGGGATTCCTCATCGCTGCCTTCTCCCTCATCGCCTGTTGTGTTGTGTTGCGCCCGCATGTGCACACGCACCAACATGTGCGGGGGGGAGGGGAGGGAAGAGGGGAGAGAGAGAGGCGGAGAGGCGAAAGAGAATGAGAGAGAGAGAGAGAGAGAGAGAGAGAGAGAGAGAGAGAGAGAGAGAGAGAGAGAGAGAGAGAGAGAGAGAGAGAGAGAGAGAGAGAGAGAGAGAGAGGGCACTTGCACACGTACAAACACACACGCACGCACGCACGCACGCACGCGCACGCACGCGCACGCACGCACGCACGCACGCACGCACGCACACGCACGCACGCACACACACATACACGCGCGCGCGCGCGCACACACACACACACCCTTCCCC